GCTAATAATCACACGGTCATATTCACCTTATCTCTATTACCCCTCATCCGTCCTCTCACTTATCTCCCTCATCCCCCCCCCTAGCTCCCCCTCACCCCCATACCCCCATATCTGCCCCTCCGAACCTTACTCCTTCCATACCTCTCTCCCTCCATGCCCCCCGCCCCCGCCGTCCTCTGTCTTATCTCCCTCACCCCTTACCTTCCCCTCCCTTACCTCCACCCCAACTTCCTCTCCCCCTACGCCCGCTTCATCTCGCCCATTCCCCTTCTCCCTCTTCCCCCAGATTCATTCACCCCTTACCCTCCCCTTCCCTTACTTCCCCAACTCCCCGCACCCCTTATCTTCCCCATCCCTTTCCCCACAACTCCCTCCATGTCTTACCCATTCCCAACCTCCCCTTTCCCCCAGAACCATTCACAACTCTGCACCCTCAAGAATATGAAATACAACTATTCCATATTTGCATATTCTCTCCATGTTCTGCAAAATGTTCACAGCATGTTCAGTTCATATTTTCCACCTGTTTCTCCATGTTCACCATTATCTACCAATGTTCACAGCATGTTCTCTGTGTTGTTCATATTCTCTTCCATGTTTTGTGTTTTTTGTCACATTCTCCATGTTATCAGTAAGTTCTTCACAAGTTGAAGCCCTTTTCATATACAACTAGCAAATAAAGTTTAATTGAAATTGAACAACTTTCATTTTTTGGTGTTAGTCCCCCATTAACTTACAGTATTCGTCAATCAACTGACAATTAGGCAGGATTAACCTCGTTCAACATTGTTCTTAACTGAAATAACCTTTTTCGTAGCAAAAAATAGTCAAAGGAAACTTTCCAACACTGTTCATAACTAATTTTATCCATCAGCATTCAACTAAAAATCATTCAACCACGTTCATCATTTCTTAACTTAAGGGAACATCAGTGCAAAAATATGCAATAAATGAAAACTAGTTCAATTTTAATCAAACTTTTTTTGATAAGTTGTATATGAAAAGGGTTTTATCTGGTCCAAGTCTCAGCATCTTAGTATAAATAGGAAGGGAGAAAACAAATATTGAATTATGTGTCAAAAAATTTCCTAAATGGTAAAAAAATTAACATTAATCACAAGTGTCAACTGAAATCATGTATATGACTCTCTGCTATCACAATAACATTGTTACGGACCCGAGTCCAGCGTCGTAGCACGGAGCAGTGACGACAACGACATCTGTGAGTCCGCTCTCGAAACCCCCTCCAAATGGACGACGCCATCTAGTGAGGACGGGATATACCGGCCACAGGGGCTGGATTCTCGTCTTAATCAGCTCATAACATAGCCGCTGCTGACCTCTGGCGAGGTGGCGCTTAGACAGCAACGCCATCTATGGAGCAGAGAGGTGGACGTTTGTGTTTAAGCCTGTAAGTGAGGTTCCCTAGTTCCAGTATTAATGACGTGTCTGATTACAGAGTCGCCCTGGGACTGCTGTATTGGACGATGGATCAGTCTACCCATGGCAGCCAAGGTCTCTCCATGAGTGTGCCGAAGAAGCAGTGAGTCACCCCCGGACGAACTCTGCTGAGAGTGTTAGCCTGCCTGTGACGTGGCAGTGTCGAGGAATCGCCTTATCCGGGGCTGCCTGGTGGAAGAGACTAGCCACTGTGGTACTGAGAGATGAGAGTGATCAGCGGAATCACAAGAGACTCCTGCCTAGGGCTCACAACCCTAGTATCGGTCGTGGAGTGGCCTACACAGCGGAGCTGATTGGAACCTGCCAGCTACAGGCTGGACTGTGGTTGAAGGCCTCCACGACGGAGCACCCAGTGGGACTGTGATTTGGCTGGCCTGTGGCCAGGGTAGATTCGCTGTGAGAAGCCAAGAGGATTCATCGTGGGCCACAGAGGAAGGAACCAGGGCTACTCAAAGTGCGCACCATGGAGCATACTGTGTCTTCAGAGGAAGACAACTCTGTATATTTTCGTGTAGTTATAAACCCCGTGTGATTGTTATTTATTTATATGGTGGTGGTGAGAATATATCTATAATTCAGAGCATGTGTATCCCTCCCTCTTTAATTTAACTTGCGTTACGGAACACATCCCTTGAAAGCCTCTACTAGCTTGAGGCCGGATTCCCAATTCTAATAACACCAGAAAAGCACCCGGTTACGCCCCAGTAGGGCCGTAACAAACATATAATAACAATATTTAATAATTAGTTTTATCTAAAAAAAAATTGGTTAATTTTTTTTTTTTTCATTTTTTCTTATTTGTTTATCGGACGATTTGCATGAAACTTGTACACCTGACCGCACGTAAGCCTATCTGTAAGGGTGCCAAAGGTGCCAGGAAGTTGGTTGATGTCAACCTCAGCCACAGATGGCAGCACCTTAGACTTTATTTTTTACCTATTTATTTTCCAGCAACATAAACGTTCCTATAACTCTTTTATTTTTTATTCAATTTACATGAAACTTACACCTTATATGTAGAGTTTATGACTCTACAAATCTTTGAAAAGCATTTTTTTCTACGTTCATTTATTGATTTTATAATAGTAATAAACCAAGATATATTTGCATAATATTTTTTTATGGAACTTTGACTATTTGTATTAGTAAAACTAAACATATTTTATAAAATCCACTAAATTAACCCGTTAATTTTATGCTAATGTGATAGAAAAGTGTCATAAAAATGATTTCATTTGAAACTTGTGGTTGTAGTTTCGATTTAAAAATGTGTAAAATTCGTTGAAAAAAATATAAAAAAATCTCCCTTTCTATTTAGGCTGCAATACTGAAACTTGGAACAATTGCAGCCCTTATCATATGCAACTAGTCAAAACTGATTGGTTGACATTGAACAACTTATAATAAACGCAGTTATGTCCCTAAATAACACATCTCTCAACTGAAAATAGTCAAGTGTAGCTTCGTTTAACACTTTATCAAACGTTATACTTCATAGAGTACAAAAAAATAGTCAAAAGAAATCTTTCATCACTGTTCTTAACTAAAACTATTCTTCCCCTTAATTAAAAATTGTCAAATGAAACTTCTTTAAACACTTGTAACTAACAGTATACTTCATGGAGTAAGAAAAATAGTCAAAAACACTCTTAAAGACATCAAGGACACACTCAAAGACAACAAAATACTTCTCATTCTATCAAAAGTTATTCTCAGAGACATCAAAAGTTAATCTCAGTCATCAAAGTTATTCTCTAAGTCACCTTCAGGCATCAAAGTTATTCTCTAAATCACCTTCAGGCATCAAAGTTATTCTCTAAGTCACCTTCAGGCATTAAAGTTATTCTCTAAGTCACCTTCAGGCATCAAAGTTATTCTCTAAGTCACCTTCAGGCATCAAAGTTATTCTCTAAGACATCATGAACTATTGTTAGACCCATCAAAGATATTCTCTGAGACATCAAATATAATCTCAGATCCGTCAGTGTTATTCTCAGTCATCAAAGATAATCTCTTAAACATCAAGAATACTGTTCAAGCATTAAATAACACTCTCAAATTAAATAACAAACATTGTCTTCATTCGAGAAATAAGTAGTCAAGGGCAACATTTCAAGGCATAAGTAAACTAAGACTCACCATTATGTAGTCACAATCAACTTTAATATATCAAACTAAACTTGTACAACCTTTAGTACCAATAAACCTATTCATCATGTATAAATAAGTAAAACAATTATCGTTTATGCAGTAACAGCTTTCACTAAGACAGTTTCACTAAGGCATTTACCATCAAAACTTGATAATAACTCTTTCACAACAAACACAGCTCTTTAAGTAACTTGTTCAAATTTTGAAATCAAACTTTCATTTCTGTTATTAATTATTCTTAGCTGCTTTATCTTAAAGCTGTTCTCTGAGCAACACTGCATCATCCTACCTAACCTATTCTAAGCTAACCTAACCTAACTTAAACTTACCTAGTGTAACTTACCTATTCCTCCCTCTCTGAGTTAATTCAGATAAGGAGTTAATTTATCAAAATATTTGACCTTGAACGAGACTGACTAATTTTGGTCTTTAATTTGTCTATGTCAAATTTGGGTTATATACTGGTCTTTGAACAATTTCGGTCTTCAACTGGATCTTTGACAAATTTTCAGTCTTCAACTGGCCTCTGAATTTATTTTGGGCTTAAACTGAACTCTTAACATATTTCGATCTTCAATTGGTCTCTGAATAATTTCGGTCTTAAACGAGTGTGACACAGCAGTAAATAGAGCTGAAAACTTACTGCTAAAATGTCTATTTTCATTAACAAAACTTCTATGAGCATATTCTCTGAAAATGGTCTTTTGAACAAATTGTCTTAACCTCTTAAATAAACTTTTATGTTTATATTATGTCTGAAATAATTTTGGTCTTAAACGGATGGGACAGAATGAAGCTGAAACAATCGGGCTCAAACGGGTGTGACAGAGCAACCAATGGCAAAATTTACCTGGAAACTCTGTGACACAGCGAACAATGAACTCGTGCCTTCAACCCTAATACTGTCACCCCTTGTGGTGCTCCTCTTCCCACACTGACAAGTAACAGTAGCAGCAAGAGTAACACTGACAGGTAACAGTAGCAGCAACAGTAACACTGACAAGTAACAGTAGCAGCAACAGTAACACTGACAAGTAACAGTAGCAGCAACAGTAACACTGACAAGTAACAGTAGCAGCAAGAGTAACACTGACAAGTAACAGTAGCAGCAAGTAACACTGACAAGTAACAGTAGCAGCAAGTAACACTGACAGGTAACAGTAGCAGCAATAGCAACACTGACAGGTAACAGTAGCAGCAACAGTAACACTGACAAGTAACATCATCAGTAACACTGACAGGTAACAGTAATAGCAACAGTAACACTGACAGGTAACAGGAGCAGCAACAGTAACACTGACAAGTAACATCATCAGTAACACTGACAAGCAACATCAACAGTAACACTGACAAGTAACAGGAGCAGCAACAGAGCCTGGACTACTTACTGTTGTCAACGGCCTGTAGCTCATGCTGGTAAAACGGGTCGTCCATATTTTTGTCTGAAACAAAAATAGTTAAAACGAGTCTCAATATATTGACCATTTTTTTACAATATTTGTTTAATGAAGTAAAAATCTTTGGAAAAATATTGTAGTTTGTAATTGCTTAAAATTTACGCACACACCTGCAGTAACACACCTGTGTACTCACCTATTTGTGCTTGCAGGGGTTGAGCTCTGGCTCTTTGTTCCCGCCTCTCAACTGTCAATCAACTGGTGTACAGGTTCCTGAGCCTACTGGGCTCTACCATATCTACACTTGAAACTGTGTATGGAGTCAGCCTCCACCACATCACTGCCTAATGCATTCCATCTGTTAACTACTCTGACACTAAAAAAGTTCTTTCTAACGTCCCTGTGGCTCATTTGGGTACTCAGTCTCCACCTGTGTCCCCTTGTTCGCGTACCACCCGTGTTAAACAGTTTATCCTTATCTAACCTGTCAATTCCTCTGAGAATTTTGTAGGTAGTAATCATGTCTCCTCGTACTCTTCTGTCTTCCAGTATCGTTAGGTGCATTTCACGCAGCTTTTCCTCGTAACTCATGCCACTTAGTTATGGGACTAGCCTAGTGGCATACCACTGAACTTTTCCCAGCTGCATCTTGGGCTTAATTAACAAGGTACGGGCTCCATGCTGGGGCCACACACTCCAGGATTGGTCTTACATATGCTATGTACAAGGTTCTGAATGATTCCTTACACTAGTTCCTGAAGGCTGTTTTGATTGTGAGGGATCTAGATCCCTCAGCTAGTTTTCCTAGTTTCTAGATTAGGCTAGTCACTCTAGAAACGGAAGCTTTCAAAATAACATATGCTTGTTGGGTGTTGAATGAAAGCTTATGTTATGGACTATCATTTGTGAGTAGTTAGAGGTCTGTGATTGCTCTGTAGAGAGAATTACAGAAATTTTCCTGTTTCTGTGAAATAGGACGAGAAGGTACTGGTCTAAAACCGTTAGAGGTGTGGGGGGGGGGGGAGAGTGGGGTGAACGTTGCCCCCCCCCCACATGGGAGACATCACGCCACTCTCCTTAGGCCTCACCCTCCTTGTGACGTCACAAGACGCCCGAGGGTGACGGAGAGAGGTGATTGGGTTAGGCATGTGTGCTCCAAGCCTAGTTTTGGCGCGAAGAGCTATGGTTGAATGCGGCACGAGGAGCCGTGCCGGCTCCAAGCTGATTGGTCAAGACAAGGTAGGGAGGAGGTAGGGGTATTTGAGTTTTCCCGCCCGCCAGGGAGGGAGTTTGAATTGGGCGGCCAGGGGAGGAAGAAGTGTTTGGTGGAGGTGGCACGCCGGCCACCTCCACCCCACGTTAATCGCTTCTCTCGTCCAAATTACTCATCGAATAAGGCACTCCTGCCATCAGGGGTTGTGTCAAGGCCCAATTAGGTGAATTGGGGCCAAGGATTTACGTAAGGAACAGTAAAGAGACAGTTGACTGGGTTCACCCATGGGGCAGCTGGAGCCTCATGGTGTAACAGGTGGGTCGAGTATCCTGTCTAGTGGCAATGGACAATTGGTGTTGGGCAGTGTAAGTGAGTGTGATATTACAGGCCCATGTTGGACTTTGCAGTACTCACTTAATTGTACTCACCTAATTGTGCTTGCGGGGGTTGAGCTTTGGCTCTTTGGTCCTGCCTCTCAACTGTCAATCAACTGGTGTACAGATTCCTGAGCCTACTGGGCTCTATCATATCTACATTTGAAACTGTGTATGGAGTCAGCCTCCACCACATCACTTCCTAGTGCATTCCATTTATTAACTACTCTGACACTGAAAAAATTCTTTCTAACGTCTCTGTGGCTCATCTGGGTACTAAGTTTCCACCTGTGTCCCCTTGTTCGTGTCCCACCCGTGCTGAAGAGTTTGTCTTTGTCCACCCTGTCAATTCCCCTGAGAATTTTGTAGGTGGTTATCATGTCTCCCCTTACTCTTCTGTTTTCCAGGGATGTGAGGTTCAGCTCCTTTAGCCTTTCCTCGTAGCTCAATCCTCTCAGTTCCGGGACGAGCCTGGTGGCATACCGCTGAATCTTCTCTAACTTTGTCTTGTGTTTAACTAGGTATGGACTCCAGGCTGGAGCTGCATACTCCAGGATTGGTCTTACATAAGTGGTATACAGGGTTCTGAAAGATTCCTTACACAAGTTTCTGAAGGCAGTTCTTATGTTGGCCAGTCTAGCATATGCCGCTGATGATATTCTTTTGATGTGGGCCTCTGGGGACAGGTTCGGTGTGATATCAACCCCCAGATCATTCTCTCTATTTGATTCTTGCAGGATTTCCCCTCCCAGATGATACCTTGTGTTCAGCCTCCTGCTCCCTTCGCCTAATTTCATCACCTTACACTTTCCAGAGTTGAACTTCAGCAGCCATTTTCTAGACCATTCCTCCAGTTTATCCAGGTCATCCTGTAGTCTCTGTCTATCTTCATCCGTCTTGATTCTTCTCATAATTTTTGCATCATCAGCAAACATCGAGAGGAATGAGTCTATACCCTCTGGAAGATCGTTCACATATATTAGAAACAGGATGGGTCCAAGTACTGAGCCCTGTGGGACTCCGCTGGTGACATCTCGCCACTCTGATGTCTTCCCCCTCACCGTTACTCGCTGTTTCCTGTTGCTTAAGTACTCCCTTATCCACTGGAGCACCTTCCCTTTTACTCCTGCCTGTTGCTCCAACTTTTTTAACAGCCTTTTATGGGGTACTGTGTCAAAGGCTTTTTGGCAATCCAGGAAAATGCAGTCGGCCCACCCTTCTCTTTCCTGCCTAATTTTCGTTGCCTGGTCATAAAATTCTATTAAACCTGTGAGGCACGATTTACCATCTCTGAACCCATGTTGGTGGTGCGTTACAAAGTTATTTCCCTCCAGATGCTCTACGAGCCTTTTCCTCACGATCTTCTCCAGCACCTTGCATGGTATACAAGTTAAGGAAACTGGCCTGTAATTCAGTGCCTCTTGCCTGTCACCCTTTTTGTATATTGGGACCACGTTAGCTGTCTTCCAACTTTCTGGTAAGTCTCCTGTTTCCAGTGACCTGTTATACACCATAGAGAGTGGCACACTTAGTGCTTCTGCACCTTCCTTTAGTATCCATGGTGAGATTCTATCAGGCCCAACAGCCTTTGTCACATCTAGCTCCAGCAGACACCTTTTGACCTCATCACTGGTGAGGTCAAATTCCTCCAAGGTTGCTTGGTTTGCCGCCTCCTCATTTAGTGCAGGGGCTTCTCCTTGTTCTATTGTGAAGACCTCCTGGAATCTCTTGTTGAGTTCTTCACACACCTCCTTGTCATTCTCTGTGTATCTGTTCTCCCCTTTCCGCAGCTTCATCACTTGTTCCTTCACTGCTGTTTTCCTCCTGATATGGCTGTGGAGCAGCTTTGGTTGGGTCTTGGCTTTACTCGCGATGTCATTTTCAAACTGTCTCTCTGCTTCCCTCCTCACTCTGATGTACTCATTTCTGGCCCTCTGGTATCTCTCCCTGCTCTCTGGTGTTCTGTTATTTCTGTAGTTTCTCCATGTTCTTTTACTCAGTTGTTTCGCTACCTTACATTCCTGGTTGAACCATGGGTTTTTCTGTTGTTTTTCGTTTTTCTCCTTTTGGACGGGGATAAACCTGTCTGCAGCTTCCTGGCACTTTTGGGTGACAATATCCATCATGACCTGCACATTCTTGTCTCTAAGTTCTGTTTCCCATGGTATTCCCCTGAGGAAGTTCCTCATCTCGTCATATTTTCCTCTTCGGTAATTCAGTCTTTTCCCCTCCACTCCCATCCTTGGATAGGTTATCCCTACCTCCACCAAGTACTCAAAGGTCAGTACACTGTGGTCACTCATTCCTATGGGGGCTTCAACTTTGACTTCCCTTATTTCTGACTCATTCAGGGTGAATATTAAGTCGAGTCTAGCTGGTTCATCATTGCCTCTCATTCTTGTGGGTTCCTTGACATGCTGGCTCAGAAAATTCCTTGTTGCCACTTCCAAGAGTTTAGCTCGCCACGTATCTGCACCACCATGTGGGTCCCCATTCTCCCAGTCTATCTTTCCATGGTTGAAATCACCCATGATTAAGAGTCTTGAGCCATTCCTGCAGGCAACTGAAGCTGCTCTCTCTATTATATTAATGGTTGCCATGTTGTTCCTATCAAACTCCTGTCTAGGTCTTCTGTCATTTAGGGGAGGGTTGTAAATGACTGTCACTATTATCTTAGGTCCACCCATTGTTATAGTTCCTTTTATGTAATCTCTGAATCCGTCACAGCCCGGAATTTCCATCTCATCAAAACTCCAGTCCTTCCTTATCAGCAGGGCCACTCCTCCACCTCCTCTCCCTTCCCTCTCTTTCCTTACTATATAGTAGTCCTTTGGAAACACAGCATCTGTTATGACTCCTGACAATTTTGTTTCCGTTAGTCCTATTACATCAGGGTTTTCTTCTTGCACCCTTTCTGCCAGTTCACTTACTTTATTGGTAATCCCATCAATGTTTGAGTACATTACCTTGAAGCTCACTTTCTTATATCCAATTTCACCCACACTCCCTACAAGTGTAGGAGGTTGTTCTATGGTCATTGCTACTTGGGTAGGCTCCGCCTCCTGTGAGGTAGTTTCCAGGGGTTCAGGGGGAGGTGTAGTGGGGGGTGGAGGGCTTAGGTCTTCCTCAGGCCTGCTTGGGGCAGGAAGAAGTCCTGGGGGTGAGGGAGCAGGGATTGCTTGGGGAGAGGGCACGCCCTCCTGCGGTGTAGTTGACAGGGGTTTGGAGGGAGGTGGAGTGGGGGATAGAAGGCTTTGGTCTTGCTCAGGCCTGCTTGGGGCAGGGAGAAGACCAGGGGCTGGGAAAGCAGGGGCTACTTGGGGTAAGGGGAGGGGGAGGATTTGGATTTCCTGATGGGCATTATGCAGGGGCAAGGAAGGGTTTGTGCTGGGGGGTAGGGAGGGCCCTATTGGGTGGTGGACTGGGGTGTTGCATTCCCCCCTGGGGTTCCTGGGTTG